GTTGGGACTACGACAAATTTGAAAACACCGTTGTCTAGCTAAAGGATGCGCGCACAACGTTTCGTCGGGGCCTCCCCATCGTTTTCCTGCCCGTTAATAAGGTATGATGTGAGATATCCGAAATTGAACAAGGAAATTTGTCAGTTTTCTCTTTAGCTCAAGATTTTGATCGGAGGTAATATTTTATCGCGCCTTCTTATGATTGGAGCTTGTTCTACGTTCCTTTCCGAACATTTTGGCGCTTGTCTCGTCTTTCTAGCACGAATAGTTTTGGAGCTATGACCAGTGCCGCAAACCCCTGCATTTAGGCCCTTTTTGTTCAATATCTCAAATCGCACACGTTTCCCGGCTGGGGACTAAAATTTAGGTGAATGGGGAGGAGCTATTCTACCAGTGTACAAAAATTCAGCTTTACACAATTTTATTGCGCAATGAGGCCTTATTTTGCCTTCGTGTCCTGGGCTACAAGTCGGTCCGACTCCGGGGTGCCGGCGGCGAGCCTGTCCGAAGGCGGCCGAGGCTATGCGTGCAGGCTCGCCCCATTGTCGACGGGAGGTGAAGATTTTCCGGCTGGTTTCTCTAATCACTGCAACAAAGCCGTGGGCTCGGGCTATTTACTCCATGTTGCCTTGTTTAGTTACCGTCCCCTTTGTCGTGGATGAGCTTCGCGTTTGCCCCCCTCCCCTCCCCCTCCGTCCTCTGCTGCTGATGTGCTCGACAGATCATCCCCAGCCGCCAGCCGCCATTGCCTCGCTATCGGCCGCGTGCGAATACTAAACTGCACCGCCGGTTGTCTCCGTCGCTCACGTCCCGCGCCCGCTCTCGCTGTCGCACCCTCTCTCTCCCTCACTCTTTCGCATGCGGCCGCCGCCGGCGGCTCCGGCGGGGCGAGGGCGCGCGGGCAACTAAGAACCCATTGAGTCAGTCAGTCAGTCAGTCAGTCATGCAGTCAGTCAGTCAAACCCCTGCTGCACCGTCGCCGAGGTGCGCGCACATACGGGCGGAGGAGGAGGACGACGACGACGACGATGATGATGGGGGCTCCGGGTCGGGGTCGGGGTGGAGCAGCTCAATACAGCGCAGTGTGCGTGCCTTTTGATATGAAGTCAGCCGGTGGCGACGACGACGGCATCTAAAGGATCTCTCTCTCTCTACCTACCTACGCACGACGTCTTGCCCCCCCCCCTTCGTCCTCGGCATTCCTTTCCTCCCTTGACTCGCGGAGGGGATGTGTTTGTTGTGTGTAATGATGTGCGGGATGTGAGGTGACGCTGCGCCGGGCACGACCTGCATCGACCGGGAGGACCCGAGACTGTATAACACATTAATGACGAAAAAAAATTATCTGAAAAATCGTTCTCCCTTTCGTTTTTTTTTTTCGAGCTCTTCTCAATCGTAAGTCTTGTGCATCTTATGCCCATATACGCGGTGGGATTTTATTTTTATTTTTGACTTCTTGTAAAGCAGGGTAATTCGTCGATATTCACGTATACGTGTATCAAAAGATTGAACACGAGTATGGGGGAGACTTTTTTGACATCAGCAGGAGATGGGAGTTCTGCACCCAAAAAAGCGTGTTCTTGAGTGAAGTAAATGTGCTCGGCTGGGCCGAGAACATTGTCTTATTGCCCCAATGCAAATTGCATTGGTGCAAATAATGAAAATTGCATGCATATTGCCCTGATGCAAACGTTCTTGAGAAATCAGGGTTCAAGAACATGCTTTCCTGGGTGTGTCACGATCATCCCCCCTCTCCCCTCCTCACCCCC